GGTCCACCGGGGGGTATAGAGCCGGTCCACCGGGGGTGTAACTGTGGTCCACCAGGGGGTATAGAGCCGGTCCACCGGGGGTGTAACTGTGATCCACCGGGGGGTATAGAGCCGGTCCACCGGGGGTGTAACTGTGATCCACCGGGGGGTATAGAGCCGGTCCACTGGGGGTGTAGCTCCGGTCCACCGGGGAGTATAGAGCTATAGAGCCAGTCCAGGGGGTGGGGTATAGAGCCAGTCCACTGGGGGTGTAGGTCTGATCCACCAGGGGGTATAGAGCCAGTCCACCGGGGGTGTAGCTGTGATCCACTGGGGGGTATAGAGCCGGTCCACCGGGGGTGTAGCTCTGGTCCACCGGGTGGTACAGAGCCGGTCCACCGGGGGTGTAACTGTGATCCACCGGGGGGTATAGAGCCGGTCCACCGGGGGTGTAGCTCTGGTCCACTGGGGGGGTATAGAGCCGGTCCACCGGGGGTGTAGCTGTGATCCACCGGGGGGTATAGAGTCAATCCACCATGGGGGTGTAACTCCAGTCCACTAGGGGACATAGAGCCGGTCCACTGGGGTTGTAGCTTTGGTCCACTGGGGTCGTAGCTCTGGTCCACCAGGGTGTAGCTCTCAAGACAAGCGCCTGCTTGAAGATCTTCACTTCTCTCGCTCTTCCACTGATGGTGGTGTCTTAACCTCCCTCTGCTCACCTCTCTTTCTTCCCTCCATCTCTCCATTCTCCAGATACTCCTGGAACATCCTTCCCAGGGCAGATGCACCACCCGCTTGTGGAAATGGACCCCTTCCTCGGTGTGTGATCCGTCACGCCCTGCTCCAGGGGCCTCATGCCTTTGTAAAACTTCAGCATGCAGTTTGGATAGCAAAAGGCTGTGGCCACACTGGCATTTCATCAGCGACACCCCCCCCCCACCTACAAACCTGTCCCCCTTTGGGTCAGGACTGCCTTAATCCAGAGGGGGGGTACAGGGCAGGTGCATCATGAGACTAGTGAGGTTATGAGTCATGAAGGAGCAGAACTCGCATTAGAGCTGTTGAGTGGCCCCTGGGCGGGGGGGCAGGGCCAGGTGGGGGTGCTTCTGAGGGTAGGCCCCCTCGATCACCCGGTGGTTTATGCCCCCCTGCTCAGTTGTTCTCGAGCTGTTCCTTGCCTTTATAAAGTACTTCTAGAAACATCTTTATGTGGGCTTCTGGCATCACTGATGGCCAGTGATGTGTCTCCATGATGCAGTACACAGGTCATGTATGTAATTCTACACGCCAGTGGCTCTCTGGCTCCTTGCTTGTGTGACAGCGCCCCCCCCCTCCCCCAGCCCGACGGCAGATTGCTGACCCGCTGGACCACAGCGTCTGCATTCACGGCCCGAGCTTCGTGGTGACGGCGGACGCACGTTTCATCCTGGCCTGCGGCTTTTGGGACACCAGTTTCCGCATATACTCTGCGGACTCAGGTAGGCGCGGGGGGGTGGGGGGTGTGCTTTCAGGCCTGTCAGCCAGGGGCCCAAGATCCACAGACCCCTGACGCCGAGTGGCCTTCTGTTAAATGTGGCATAATGTCAACATCTGTCAAGCTGTTAAAATGTCCAGAATACGTTGTCCAGAGAAGAGACAGCTGAGGTTCTCTGCAGTCCGGCCTACAATCAGACACTGAACTAATGTGTCTGTGTGTGTCTATGTCTGTGAGTGTGTGTGTGTGCGTGTGTGTTTCTGTATGTCTGTGTATGTGTGTGTGTGTGTCTGTGTGTGTGTGTATGTCTGTATGTGTGTGTGTGTGTATGTCTGTGTATGTCTGTGTATGTGTGTATGTCTGTGTGTGTGTGTGTGTATGTCTGTGTATGTCTGTGTATGTGTGTATGTCTGTGTATGTGTGTGTGTATTTCTGTGTATGAGTGTGTGTGTGTGTGTGTGTATGTCTGTGTGTGTATGTCTGTGTATGTCTGTATGTGTGTATTTATGTATATTCCGTGCATTTTCCCTACTGAAGCTCTGTACTCAACACGGTTACTTGTACAGACTGAGATTTTTGCTGCCGCCACTAAATTGGCTGGTAATGTGTTGTATGTTTGTTTAGCCCTTTGATTCCTAATGGTGTGTTTATTGACACGCTGATCCTCTGCTTGGCTGTTTGTCTTACTGCTCTCTGCTGCCCAGACGCACATGACGTCATTTTCATCCCCCGCAGTAAGACTGACTGTCTGATCATCAGTGTCATGCGTCAAGTCACAAGTCAGCCTGTGCTGCACTTTTTCCGGCGGTCTGACTGTAATTATTCCTCTTGTCCAGTGTTTCACACATCTGTAAAAGAATCGAGAACACAGCATACCTGGTGGTGGTGTGTCAGGGGCGGGGGGGGGGCAGTCTGCGGGTCCCTGAGGACTGGGTTGTGGTCTGAGAGCGGTTGAGGTGTTAGCTTCCTGTTCTGCGCAAAACCTGAGAATCCCTGTTCCCCCCATGCGAGAGAAACTCCCCACATCCAGCCTGCCGTCACCTGCGCGCTATAAATATGCCCCTATTTGTGCGACATATCTGATGTTTTTCACGTGTGTCATTATGCACTCGTCCCGCCAGCAGGCAAATGTCGGAAAAGCAGGAGACCCTCGTCACCCCAGTTTAATTCCTGGCTGTGCGTTTCAACAGATTCCCTTTGAGCTCAAGTCGTGTCTTTATTGTCATGATCGAGCTGCTGGCTGCCAAGTTTATTGTTTGGAAATTCTGCAGTTTTATTTTAAGCAGTTTATTATGTGTTTTATGTTGCTGTAAAATGGAATTCCCACTCTTCATTCTTTACTCCACATTTCAGTCACGGACATTAAGCAGCCAAAGCAGTATTTTTTTAGGAATAATTCGGCTCCAATATCAGCTGTATGCAGTATTGCTTATAGCCGTTTTTCTAGTTCATGCTATTTGGTGAACTGTGGACAGTATTCACTGTACAGTCTACATGTGTATCAATATGCATGAACACAGTATTTTGACAGTATTAGCTGTACAGTCTGCATGTGTATGAACATGCATGAACGCTGTGTTTTGACAGCTAATTGTGTACAGTATGCATGTTTATGAATATGCATGAATGCTGTGTTTTGACTGTGTTTTGTGTACAGTCTGCATGTGTATGAACATGCATGAACGCTGTGTTTTGACTGTTTTGTATACAGTCTGCATGTGTATTAATTTGCATGAATGCTGTGTTTTGACAGCGTTTTGTGTACAGTCTGCATGTGTATGAGCATGCATGAACGCTGTGTTTTGACTGTTTTGTATACAGTCTGCATGTGTATTAATTTGCATGAATGCTGTGTTTTGACAGCGTTTTGTGTACAGTCTGCATGTGTATGAGCATGCATGAACGCTGTGTTTTGACTGTTTTGTAT